AATCTGTTAGGTGGAACAGATGAAAAATTAAGAAGGTGGGCCAGTTATTTTGAGAACATATTATTATGTACGGACGACCAAGATGAAAGAGAACAAACGCAACTACAACATGAAGAAGTAAGGGACACAGATGTAAATGAAGAAGTACCTACCAAGGAAGAAATTATAGAGATCATAAAAAACTTAAAAAACAACAAAGCACCTGGTGAAAATGGTATCATTGCTGAGTTTTTAAAAGAAGGTGGCGAAATGGCACAAGAAGAAATCGCTGAGTTAATACGCGAAGTGTGGATCAAAGAAAAAATACCCAATCAGTGGAAAGAAGCAGTCTTATGTCCAGTGCATAAAAAAGGAGACGTTACAGAATGTAAAAATTACAGGGGAATAGCTCTACAAGATACAGTGTATAAGATTTTGGCCATATCAATTAGAAATAAAATTAAAACAAAAGTTTAAAATTGTCTAGGTGAATATCAAGCAGGTTTCAGAGCAAACAGATCGGTAACTGACCAAATTTTTACAATGAAACAAATTTTAGCTAGCTCATATGAATTCAACCTAACAGTACACATGCTGTTTATTGATTTTAGAATGGCATATGATACTATAAAAAGAAATAAAGTATATGAAGCACTAGAATATTTTGAATATACATCAATGTGTAGCATATGCAGATGATGTTACCTTAATAACAAGGAGACCTGCAGAATTAAGAGAAATCTTTATTAGAATAGAGAGAATAGCCAGAGAATATGGTTTAGAAATAAACGAAGAAAAAACAAAATATATGGTGATGAGGGGAAACGAAAATCATCTAGGAGAGTCCTTTAAGGTACAAAGCCCAAGTAAAGAATATAACTTTGAAGTTGTTAGCCAATTCGACTACTTGGGAGTGACACTAACAAATAGGAACGAAGAGAACCAAGAAATCATAAAAAGAATGGCCAAAGGTAGTAAGAGTGCTGGGAGCCTGACTAAGACACTGAGGTCGAAGATAATATCCAGAACAGCAAAAAAACGAATATATACAACAGTTATCCGACCTACAGTACTCTATGCTAGCGAGACCTGGACACTAAATAAAGATATGGAAGTAAAATTAGATAGATGGGAACGAAAAATTCTTAGAAGGATATACGGAGGTGTAAAAGAGGGGAACATCTGGCGAAGAAGAACGAATGAAGAAATAATGCAAATATATGGACAACCAAAAATAACAAGACTCGCGAAAATTCAAAGATTAAGATGGCTCGGGCATATAGCAAGAATGAAGGAAGGAAGAGTTCCCAATGAATTAATAAACACGGAGGCTGGTACAAAAAGAAAAAGAGGCCGCCCCCGAAGAAAATGGCTGGAGTCGGCAAAAGAAGATCTGAAGTCGCTGTGGGTACAAGATTGGAAAAACTTAGCACAAGATAGAAAGAAATGGAAAAAAAACCGTTGAAGCCTTGGGCCTTTGAGGCCTGTTGAGCTGAACTATATATATATGAAAACTTTGAGATTTCTGAGGGAACCCACATCTCGTAGCCTCATGAGGCTTCTTGGGATTGTATGTCTTCATACTCGAACGTCCTTTGAACGATATAACTTGTTCGACATACGATAAGTGTTCTTCTAAAGGTATTTACAAACACTAAGTATATTACTAAAATGAAGAAACCTTTTGATCGTTTCAAAACGATTGATAGGCATTACGTCTGCAATTTGCGAAATTCTTGTTGTGGGAATCCAATAGTGTCGTGTAGTAGGTTGTCTTTGAGTTTGGGTTTTTGTCTTCGCAAAGAATTAACCCATGTCAGCTCCCTAGGTGCTCTGCAGAGGGCTTCGATCAGCCCATAAAAATATTTAAATTATTTTAACAACAAACAACAACAAATTTAATTAAAATTTTTAAGTATTTAGTATACTGATATAAATTTATTTATTAAATAAACTAAACGCTAATATAATAATATATATAATTATATATAATAATATGCTAAAACACAAATGAATAACCAATGAGGTATACATAAAAACAACGTTCATTTGATATGTGTCAACATCGTAAAAAATCGTGAAAGTTTCATGCAACTTCGTAATTATAACGATAGGACTTTTCATCAAAATGGCCATTTTTTTCGAACAGATTTTTTGTAAACAAACATGTTAGGTTAGTAATATAAGTAACAATAAAGTGCATGTTATATGACAAGTCTTTATTTCTTTATAAACAATGTTATTTCTTTATTAAAAAATATTTATTTAATAAATATTTTCTTTATAAACCAGTATATGACGTATAATAACGAAAAACATGGCGACTGATGAAAAGCTCTATAAACAACAACAAAGAATCTTGTTTGTGACACATCATCGAGCAAAAAGACAAACCAGGGGATTTTATCGTTATGAAAAGGAGACCAAAATTCATAAAAGTGACATCCGAAAATGCAAAGGCGCCAAATTTAAATTTTCCGACACTTAACAGTAGCTATAAAATATTTTTCAGAATGTGTCTTAGACGAGAAAGTTTTAATTAAATATTAACGATAATAGTCTAAAATGTGACACAATTGTTAAAAAACTTCAATATAAATAAGATTTCATATGACAGTTGGGACAAACAATAACATAACCCAACTAAATTTGATTTCTTAAACAAGAAAAGAGACTCACTTTCCTTGTTTAATATGGCCTCTCAAAATGGCGTCTTTTTTTTAAACAATATTTTTGCCCCCACTACCTTTACATTCCCTCTTCTGTCTTTTTGCTCGATGCAGTTTATATACCATGGGCTGAATCCATGGACGTATAAACATAGATGGACACAGCAATAAGATACCTTTAACACACAATGTTTTGAAGCTTCGATAGAATGTGATGCTTTCGCAATGAGCATAAGCGTGCTTTAATTATTACTCGCGGGTAATTATTCAGATTTTAAAAATTGGTAGTAGTAATAATGTATAAAAACACGTTCAAAGAATTTAAAAAAACGAGAGTTTTACTATTAACAAATCACGTCTTTATAGAAAAATTAAAATACAATTTTATTGGCTTTAAAATTAATACAATATAATATACACTTCATCTAATTTATATAACGATACACGTCATCGGCGTCATAGCCTGTGACGTCACATGATACCAACACAAAATATTTAGGGTCTAGGTGTGTTCTTTTTTAGAATCACTTTACCGAGTACACTGGCATTACAGCCACTAGACATATTTTATTATATACGCGTAGAAATAATATTTAAAAATTTCTAATAATGTTAAAGAAATACACAATAATATGTTTAATTTAATTTGTATAAATGCATTATAAGGCGTTTTTATTAAGAACATTTGTTCGGAACACACTGTAACTGTAATCGAACGAAGGTAAAATTTTGGCATAAATTGGTAACACTTATTTGACAGTTGCGGTGATGACACTTTTTTTACTTCATTATTTTGAATTTTAAAGTGAATATATCTTGTTTTATATTTTTAACTATTTAATAAAATCTGTTCTTTTTAGAACAAAATTAGTGTGTTTTATTTCAAAAATGTCACGTAAGAATTTAAATAGTCGTTGTAAAGAGATGATAATACTTTTGCAATAATTATGTAATCTATTTGATTTAAAATGAAGTCAGGATTTTTTTATACTTTGGCAACTATGTCAACTTCGATCTCTGAGCTAGATAATGACGTAAGTCGTTATCTAAATTAGATGAAGTATAGTTGAATTCAAGTTAATTTTTAATAGGTAGGTAACAAAATAATGCTACAATAAAAAATCTTTGTGTTTTCTCCTAAATTTGCTAGCAAAGTAGTTCGATCGTCAATATTATTTGGAAACCTACATAGAAAAATAAATGAGTTTTATTCATTTCACTAATTTATTTGCATCCATGAGAAATATTAAATTAAAAAGGTACTAAATAGATCTTTTTTAATCAGATGATGTCTACTTACAATTTAAAAATGTCTACTAATTTCATGAACTTTTATCTTATTTAATACATTAATGAACATGAATATACCCAATGGTACGCCTATTAAAATGTAAACAAATACGCTTCCTCATTTCCTCATCTTAAATAATGTAAATTTTATGTACTTACAAATGAAATGAGAGATCGGGATGTAAATATTTCGTTTATTTTATTTCACTTTTCACAAATATCACTCAAAATACAGCCAAAATATCGAAAAACAACTTTTACTAAAAAGTAAACAAACATGGAACAGCATTTGAAGTTTGACGTAGATCCATAAGACAGAGAAATGTAAACAACCGTTGCCATTTATAAATAGTTTTCAGTGCTTCTACATATAAAATAATTGATTGATATCTAAATTATACGTTATTATTAAATGATAATGCACAGTATGTGCACACTTTATATTTTGATTACAATTAAATCTAACCAATAAATTATTATTTTGGTTTTGATAGCACCTGTAGAGTATAAAATACGGAGTAATATTTTCAGCGACTCGCGAATAAGAAATTTTAAAACAAAACGTGACAACAGCTATTCAAATAATTTTGACTTCACAATTTTATGTAAATAACTGAGTCCATCTGTGTTTATACGTCCATGGCTGAATCTATATATTATACGCCATTGTACTATTATTTATATTGGCTTATAATTTTTGAGTTTACATCTAATTTTCTGTTATTTAGACTTTTTCCTCTCACGATGCTGCTTGTTGTTTTTTTTTTTTTGTGGCATAACTGCCATTTTTTGACTTTTCGTTGGAGCGACATAATTGCCACGTCTTATTACAAGCACACTGTTTCCAAGCAGTTATAACGCATATTATGTGTAAAAAATTTAATTCTCTCTACCGCTTTCTTTGTCGATACCAAATAAAATTTAGAAGCAATTGTGTAGTACGCTTGATTTTCTAAGATTTGGTTTCACTATTAAGTTAATCGATAGAATAGTTCCATTTCGTATAAAAATAAAAAAAATATGCCATTTTTAGATACATTATAATGATTTTTTTCTTTCTAGACATTGTCCGTCATCGGTGGACTGTTGATGATCGTTTACTTGGGACCCGGGGGTGTTTCTATGGACGAGCACAAAAAGCGGTGGTAGAACTATGTGATTCCAAGTAGTGAACATCTTGTGACAACAGGTTTATAAATCCAGAAAAACTGTCGACTCTTTTTTATACCACATATACGCGTTCCTTTTTTCTCTAAACATTAAAATATTGCAAAAGAAAAACCAACTGAAATTCAAGAGATCACTGTTGTGTTGTGTACCAACAACTGCAAATGCATGGTTAGTAAATGCTATACAAGTATGGCTAGCCAATATTTATAATTTGTTAATTTTTTATAATACTTCTTTTTCAATTCATTTTTTTAACCACTTTATTGGTCTAATCTGTGCTAATTTTTTCCATATATTTACTGGTAACTTATTTACTATGATATCAATAGTAGAGGTTATTAATTTCTGCCTAACAGAAAATATATAACTACAACAATCAAGTAATAATTATAAATATTAATGATGTAATATTACATAATAATTACTTGATGCAGTATTCCAATTTTTAAAAGGTGCATTCGTGGATTTCAGATTTCCCTTGAAGTTTAGCACAAATAGTATACCAAAGGAACATGCATAATTATGTGTAATTGCATTGTGCCCTTTAAAGCCAGAAAGTAAAATTCTTTTACAATACCACCACAATGAGCCATACTTTTTTTAAGACTTTCTCCTCCATTTGGATTTATCGAGCCATCGCTATTCTGTGTAGATGTAGAGAAAGTTCTTAAAACGCTTGCCAATCACCAGTATTATTTTATTTGATGTGTAATTTTTCTACTGTTTTTTTTTTATTTTAAATAAAGGGTTGCTTCGAATAATGTTTAAATAGTTCAAAATAATAAAAGATATAATTAATCAGGAGGATAAAGAAAGAAAACAAATAATACTTTATAGTATTCGTATACATTATGACCAGTAAAGAAGAATATCTTCGTTTTGCAGTCTGGTGGTTCTGCACAATTTTATCATTTTAAAAATGTATAGACACTTGTTTGGAAAAAGTTCTTATTTTGGGCATTATGTGTAATTAACAGGCAAAGCAAATAAATGTCTGTTAATTCGAATAAAATAAATATCTAGTATTAAAATTAAACATTGTGTTCAGGGATCTTTTGACTTTAGTTGGTTTTTTAAGTACACGAGACTTAGCGGTCAGATCGATGTAAAAATCAGTGTTATACACTTTTTTACTTTTAAGCAAAAAATAATTAATTTATACAAGATTTATTTTATACAAAAAAGATATGTATATACTCTATTGAGGAATTTTTGTGAATTTATTTTGACTTGGATTCAATCGGAACACCTCGTTCCAAAGTTTGGTTCGGAAAAATGTCAGTTTTGCATGTGTATAGTCTACTACATATATTTTTATAATAAACTGTTTTGTTGAAGATTGTATTATTAATCACAAACACACACAAACATGTTTTATCCCTTTGATTAAGATTGTATATTTCAGGTTTGTCGCTTTTTATTTTAAGCTATAGAATGTCGACAATAATAAAAGAAATTATTTTTTAACAGAATCAAAAAATTGTTTATTCTCAAATATCATTATCTTGGTTAGAAAAACTTTTAACTTTTGACTTTGAATATTGTAGATAAGGGGGTCGTTAGTCCTTGTAGACCTCCCCACACTTTTGTGTATACCCGCAACCTATGCTTGTGGCTTTCGGATAGACTTTAGCGCCTGCTATCGAGTCTCTTTTGGATCGGGATCTTTCTTTCTGAAAGGTTTCTTAAACATTTTCTTTGTTGAGTCGCTCATGTTTGCTTTCGGCGCTTGCTGGGCATAGTGGTTTTCATGACTACTTCTCGGTAGTTCCTTTTCATTCGGAAATATAGCCTATATAGACCAGAGCAATTAGCAAATAAAAAGCACTTTTCGTGACACTCTTTGATACAGGTATCTAACAACTGCTTTTGATAAATTTGTTAATAACAATATATAATAAATAAAATATGCAAAAGATTAAATGTTATTTTTGTCTTATAATCAATGTAAAATCGCCCTTTAATTTTAAATACTAAAGATAAAATCGGTAAATTATATGAAAAGTGAACAATTTTACTAAGAAAGCTTAAAAATCCTTTAAAATTAGTGTTTGTAAAGTTATTTTTGTTAGTTTGTTGTTAAGTTATTGCAAAAATAGCTTTAAAAATCGATTTTTTGACAATTATTAATAACTTTTCTAAAAATACACAAAAACTTTAAATTTGCGGGATAATAGGGACAAATTCCACATGTATTGAGCTATTAGGTCGATATAAATTGTGAAAGCACCAAATTAAAAAGAAAGGCTTACTTTTTTAAATTAAATTTAATGATTAAAAAATTGATGCTAAATATTGTGAAGTAGGTTTACAAAAGTACTGTGATTTTAACCTTATAAACATTGAAAATAACTCAGATGCATCAACATAAATTTTTTTTTTTGTTTTTTCGGAATGTCGGCATTTTTACACAAATTTGGAAAGAATTCAATGTTCTACGACCCTTAGACCCGAGTTAGCATTTTTTTTATTTCTCGATTTTGATATTTTAAAAACTGAATTCTTGTTCCGAGGCATAATCCTGTTTCTACGAGCTGTATGGTTTTTATGTCTATCAGTAAGGTGCTAACCTGGCTGTAGATGAGAATACTGAGAAGAATTACAGGAAATACGCGGAGAGATCGACAGAGAAGTGAAGTCATAAAAGAATGGAATAACCACACAAGCAGAATGGAGGAGACCCGTGTCGTCAAAATAGCAAGAGATGTCACCAAGCGGCAGAAGAAGTATCGGACGACCGCGCAAAAGATGGAATGACAACCTTCCATAGAGGTATTAAGGCTGTTTTAGCAGTTGAAGAACACTGCGATTTGAAATGGGCTCATCACTTACTTTTCTATACTGCTTACCTTGCTTATCTTTACTCAGTGGCGCCGGCCGACGAGTAGTTTAATGACAACAAATGCATTATTCTCCATTCTAATTAGTTTTAACATAAACTAACTGACCGTACGTTCATGAGATTTGACGTCACGAAGGCGATAACGATGAGTCTAAGCGACAATGATGAGTAACACGTTTCACTTTTAGATTTTAGTATTTTTTAGCAATTTTCTTCCAAAGTTGGAACACGCTTTTCTCGATTATTACTGGACACAGAAAGGTGAAAAAAATCAATGATGACAGAAAAAAAACTCTTTCAAGTGATAGGCGTAAAAAGTTTGGTTATAATAGAACGTTAAACAGTATAATCCAATTTTTCAAAAGAAGTTTAAAAAAAAATAAAAAAAGTAAAACCATCATTTTAAAGGCAACATAATTTCGAATAACGTGTCCAAATTTCGAGATATTTTGTCGGTAAATAACAGAGAAAACACTGTCCCTAGGTTTTGTGGTGCACCAATAAAACAGTCTTAATCCACCAACGAACAAGCAGAATTGCTTATAAAGAGGAGGAAGAAGAAGAAAACCTGAATTCATGAATTCAAAATAAAAGTCACAACGTCTCTGGTTCTAATTGATGCTTTTTTTAATTTGGGGTACCTCGTTGCAGAAATTATAAAACGTCAACTAGTTAATTTGTGAATAATTGTTTATTGAACCGAGTAATTTGTTTAAACAATTCAAAATAAATATTTATTTTGTAAAATTTTACTTTTTTCTTATTATTAGTACTAGAAAAGGTTATGAAAAGAGAGGTAACTTAAATATTTTTATATTATTGTTATAAACAATATCTTTTAAAAATTAATTTTATAAAAAAAATTATTTTTTATTTGAAACTCAAATCTATACGTGTTAATTTTTCTTGAATAATGCTTATAATGTTGACAATGACTTTTCTTGACTGAAAAATATTACAAGTATATTTGAAACAAATTAATTGTTATAAACTTGGTGTAATTATAAATAAAAAATAGTAAAATTAAGTATGTAAATTGTTAACACATATAGATTTGATTTTCAAATAATTTTTTTTTAATTTATTTGTAAAACATTATTTATCATAATATATAAATATTTAAGTTGCCTATTATTTCATAACCTTTTCAACTAATAATAATTTATAATTTATAAAATAAAAAGAGAAAAGTAAAATTTTGCAAAATAAATATTTATTTTAAATTGCTTAAACAGATTACTCGGGTAAATAAACAATTCACAAATTAACTAAATGCATTTTTATGATCTATACCACAGAATAATAAAACAATCAGAATGCCCACTCTGTTTGGCGAGATAAGTACGCGCAGACGGAATCAGCTTTGTTTTAAACGAAACCAGTGCTGTTCAGTGAAATTTTATCCAGGAATAGAAAAATTAACCCGGTTTAAGTTATTACGGCAACCATAGACACAATATGCACTATTTTATTCGTACTTTTAGTTGAAGAATATATTAAATTATTTCAAATTTACTAAATTATTAACCTCTTAAAATTTAAATTATGGTTATGTCGTGGCTGACACACTTAAAAGGCGGCATCTTAGAGTGGGCGTTCTGATTGTTATTTATTCTGTGTCTATGCCACGAGGTACCCCAAATTTAAAAAAATCAATGTTCGTTGATTAAAACGAGAAATATTACGACTTTTAGAAACTTGAATTTATGAATTCAGTTTTTGAAATCGTAAAATCTTTCGCTTTTAAACCCTTTATCTTTGACGCTTAATGAATGGCTTATTTTTAAATGAATTGTTTATTATTTATAAACAAAGCTTCCGTAAATTTAAAAAAGGGCTAACTCGGGTTTTAAAGGTCGTAGGGCATTAAGTTTTTTTTTGAATTCTTGTAAAAATGCCAATGTAGCTAATACAAAGAAATTTATTTCCTACATGTTATTGCCTCTGAGTTTCTTTTAATTGTTTATAAGCTAAATCGCAGTACTTTTGCAAATCTATTTAACATAAACTTTTTAATCGTTATATGATTTAATTTGATAGAGTAAGCCTGTTTCTTCATTCTGGTGCTTTCAGTTTTTATGTAGACCCAATAGTTTACGCATAATAATGTTGTAGATAAAAGCTTTTTAGGATAATCAATTTTAATTTTGCAATAACTGTTAAGTGAAAAAAAATGCCTTTATAAAAGATATAATAATAAAAACCCTATCGGGCTACATCACAGAACGATTTCTGAATAACTATTCCATCATCAGTGCTATCTGCATGTACATTTTTGGAGCCACAAAATGGGTAAAAATCCTTTAAATGTTGTTTGATTAACTTTGAATTACATCTTTGATATTTAAAAACTGTGATGTTTAAGTTACAAAAGGAATTTACATGGCAACGTAGGACTCTTGCTAGACGTTATACGAAGTGTCTGTGAGGACTTGTTGATAGCAATTGAGTTAATAGATTTTTTGGAAATGTATTGGGTGGTTTTCCCTTTACCTTTCCCATGATTTTCTAGTAGGGTTCTCTCCTTTAGGAAAGCTGCTCCAATTAGACTTTCCTGCGTCCTCTTCCGTTAGCTACATAGCTTACACGAATAGTGTACCATGTATTGCCCTTAAACCACTTTTGTGGAAGTAGGATTTTTTTATACACTAGACAATCTGTGGACTTTTCCCATCGGTTTATTGTGATTAGGGCATTGGCAAATAACTAAATTCAACAACCTGCCCTAATATCGATTTTTTTCGGTGGCTCTATTGGATATATATCGCGTGTGGTTAGCGAATTTTTAAAGAGTAATAATTAGGCATCCTACAAAATCATTCGATTAGACAAGACAAAATGTACATACTGATGAAAAAAAAAATCTTTCAAATGTATTTCTTTGCATGACAGGAAATTTTTTTGGGTATATTGAAATTTTTATTAAAATGTTCACTTTTTCTAATGTCTTCTTCTAATACTAGTTTGAATTTAAAATATTTTGTAATACACAACACCTGATAAGGAACATGTTTGCTGGCTTCAACATACCCTTTTTTTAAATTAGACCAAATTTAAATCAGGACTTGCTGTTTCTGTTTCCCAGTTTCAGCATCATTTTACGCAGCTTTTGTCTTGTGCCCCCAAATCAGCTTAATAATAATAAACGAATAGAAAATTTTAGTTGTACTACTTTTGACAGCATTACAATTATTACTTACAGTGTTTTGTGAACACTTGTGACATAGTTAAAACAAATCCTAAAAAAATTGTTGACGTTCAATCACTAATATTGGTTTATTAAATTCCCTTCATATTATTGGAAATAACGGTTATTTCCAATAAATAACTACCATACAATATGTGAATGGTTTTCTTTACGTTAACGTGATTTTCAAATTGTATTCAGTCAGTTCACTAATTCTATTCAGTTTTTTGCTACAATTTCTTTCTGCTATTTTGTTAAACGGTCAAGTTACAAGTAGAATGAAATACAATCTACAACAAATTATTAAG